CTTTTTCACATCTCCAGTGTTCATATGCATACGTAATAATTCCTAAGTCTGAGAAATCTGTCTAATAGCTCTAGATGCACCTCTAGCCATCTGTTTTCCTTTTGGGCCATTTTCTTTGATTCAATTTGATGAACTGTTACAAACACTCATACTTTCTTTTCATCTGTGCAACACAGGTCATAATTGCTTAAGGCTAGAGAAGCGCTACATTTTACCCAGCATGGAGGGGAAGGGTCAAAAAATAGCATGAAAAAAGCTTCCATTGTGCCCACAATACAAAGAGAGCATATTCTATGCCTCACAGGTGACGGTTTCAAGAATAACTGTGTGTGAGGCTATAGGTGAATGTCAAATCCTTTTCAGAAATGCTGAGTCTAAGTTCAGGTGCGTCTCAGTCCCGTGTTTAGATCAGGAAATTGAACACCTAATGGCATGACTTACATGCAGAGAAAAATGAGGATTCTGGACTACAAACTAGCGTACGATAGGCAGCTTCCTGAGCCTCAGTCCATCTGCTCCAGCATTTAGCGCTCCAGGATATGGCATCGGAACACAATTATTAGAAACACAAAGGCTGCTTTGTGGATTGACCCCGAAGGCTTTCTGACCTCTACAAACTACAGCTAACATGCCTGATTGTATCTCAAGAACATTTTTGTTGTTGTTTTTTCTATGAGCAAGGGAAAAGACTCTGGTTTTAAGCTGTCCCTTGACAGACTAAGATTGAATGACAAGATTTAAAAGTTCATAACTGCCTGCATACAGCCTTCCCGTAATACTGTTAGTCTCTAAAGAGCTTAATTCTTTGAAATGCAAAAATAAGTTGGAGTACTTTATGAATTTATGAGTATGAAAAATGAATGCATCTCAGTTGCAGTGGAAAAGACAGGTATTTCACACAAATGGCATATTTGAAAGCTAGTAGATTGTTTTGCTGGCCTACTTCCCCTCCTAATCTCACTTTATACAAGTATCTGACACTGCAAGTAATCTTATGATGGGAAAAAACAACTCTACATTTCTGTTATGAGATCAGAAAGTTTCCAAGGGAGAGGTTAAAATCACTCCTCATGTGTTGCTTTGGATGCAACACCACTATCCTTCCTTTCTCCTTCCATGACACAAGCTTTTCAGATGGCTGTTTCACTCAAGTGCAGTAGATGCTGTTTAACTCATATTTTCTTAATGCTATGTAAAGCCCACACAGATAGTCTCAGCGCACTTACTCTGGCTGTTCTCTAGGGTCCCAGGTATCATCAAATTCAGATCCTTCTGGGACCTCCTCTGTATTCCAAATAGTTTTCCTGTTTTCAGATTTCACTTGAAAAGTACCTGTAAGTGACGAGAAAAATCACACTGTCATATTTAGGAATGTCTCTGTTCCTCTAGGTTTGCTGAAAACTTAAGATTTTTCTAGGCTTCAGAAAAATCTTTGTATTAAAAGCATTCTAGTTAATGATTACAGTCTCCTTCACCCCAGTATCTTATGAATGAGGATTTGCAGAGGGAGGATGTTTTCTCTTTCTTTCCCCAACCTCTATGCCAAGGAAATCCTCCTTTCAGGCATAAAATATCTAGCAATTCAAAAGGGGTAAATTATAGAATTATGAAATATTAATCTTCCCCAAGACCCCTGGCATGAGATTTTTAAGTGAGCAGAGTCATTTATAAAAGGACCTCCTCCTCACATAGAAATCCAGTTCTTCCCATTAATTATGGGAAGTCAGGTGAAGTCCCTGGTGACTGGAAGAAGGGAAGCATTGCACCCATTTTTAAAAAGGGTAGAAAGGAGGACCCTGGGAACTACCGACCTGTCAGCCTCACCTCTGTGCCTGGGAAGATCATGGAACAGATCCTCCTAGAAGCTATGCTAAAGCACATGGAGGACAAGGGAGATGATTTGAGACAGCCAGCACGCCTTCACCAAGGGCAAGTCCTGCCTGACCAACCTAGTGGCTTTCTATGAAGGAGTGACAGCATCAGTGGACAAGGGAAAAGCAACGGATGTCATCTATCTGGACTTCTGTAAAGCCTTTGACACGGTCCCCCACAACATCCTTCTCTCTAAATTGGGGAGATACGGATTTGATGGGTGGACTGTTGGTGGATAAGGAAGTGGCTGGATGGTCGCATCCAGAAAGTAGTGGTCAACAGCTCAATGTCCCGATGGAGACTGGTGACAAGTGGTGTCCCTCAGGGGTCCATACTGGGACCCGTGCTGTTTAACATCTTCATCAGTGACATAAACAGGGGGATTGAGTGCACCCTCAGCAAGTTTTCAGATGACACCAAGCTGAGTGGTGCAGTTGACACGCCAGAAGGACGAGATGTCATCCAAAGGGACCTGGACAAGCTGGAGAGGTGGGCCTGTGTGAACCTCATGAGGTTCAACAAGGCCAAGTGCAAGGTCCTGCACCTGGGATGGGGCAACCCCCGATATCAGTACAGGCTGCGGGATGAAGGGATTGAGAGCAGCCCTGCGGAGAAGGGCTTGGGGGTACTGCTGGATGAAAAGCTGGACATGAGCCAGCAATGTGCACTTGCAGCCCAGAAAGCCAACCGTATCCTGGGCTGCATCAAAAGCAGCGTGGCCAGCAGGTCGAGGGAGGTGATTCTGCCCCTCTACTCTGCTCTGGTGAGACCTCATCTGGAGCACAGCGTCCAGCTCTGGAGCCCTCAGCACAAGAAGGACATGGACCTGTTGGAGTGGGTCCAGAAGAGGGCCACAAAAATGATCCGAGGGCTGGAGCCCCTCTCCTACGAGGACAGGCTGAGAGAGTTGGGGTTGTTCAGCCTCAAGAAGAGAAGCCTGTGGGGAGACCTCATTGTGGCCTTCCAGTACTTAAAGTGGGCCTATAGGAAAGATGGGAACAATCTTTTTAGCAAGGCCTGTTGTGACAGGACAAAGAGTAATGGTTTTAAACTAAAGAAAAATAGATTCAGAGGGGATATAAGGAAGAAATTTTTTATAATGAGGGTGGTGAAGCACTGGAACAGGTTGCCCAGAGAGGTAGTGGAGGCCCCATCCCTAGAAACATTGAAGGTCAGGTTGGATGGGGCTCTGATTAAGCTGATCTAGTTAAAGATATCCCTGCTCACTGCAGGGAGGTTGGGCTAGATGACCTCTAAATGTCCCTTCCAACCCAAAGCATTCTATGATTCTATGATTGAGCACAGCCCAGATAAGGTACTGAAGACACATGAAAGTTCACAAGCAGAATACTATGGTTTATGCCTGTTCTACATGGAAAAATATATTTTCTAGTAAGCTGGTAAATGGGCAACTTGAAGGTTTTTATAGTAGAACCTCTGGTTATTGTTGGAATCCCAAGCAAAAATACTCTTTTTGTTATATTTGCCACAGTTCCTTTCCTGCTACACTCATCCTGGCCCTTGTTGACCTTTCTTACGGCTCACAACTAAGCTGCCCAATAATGTGACAGCATTAGCTCCAGGAAGAACTTTACATTAACTTTGCCAAGACAAAACTTGTCTTCCTTTCTTTCCTGAGTACAATCCAAGGTGTTGACACAAATTTAGGAACCCTCAAGGTATTTGTTCTCATTGTCTGAGTCTGCCTTTCTATATGATGCCAGAACTCCTGGAGTCAGTTAAAGCATGTAATTGTCTGGGCTTTACAGGCAAAGAACTAGGTGCATGAAGGAGAAAACCTGAAAACTGTCTCTCAGTCTGTTGAGGGCAGAACTGAACAAAGCTTCTATTTCTTCCCATGTGTGGTCTAAATAGAGTTGTGAAACTTTTTGGGGGAATATGGTATGACTGTGTTTCACAGTACACTTCACAGCTCTTCCTCCTCATAGGCATAGGCTCAGTTCCATGCAGTTTACTCCATGAAGAGCCTTTCAGGTGAGTACTTAGAAGTCCATCTTGCTTGTTTGTGCTAAGTGAGCATTAACAATTCCATGAGAGTACTTATACAGAGCTTTTTGCTGCTCAGTTATGATTCCCCCTCAGTCCATGACCAGGCTGTGCTCTGTACTCTGTTTATCATCGCCACTTGAGGCTGCTGTGCTCTGGAGTTACCCTTTCTGCTTCTCTTTGTATATTTTGCAGTTCAGCTTTCAGGAAAAGAATTGTAAAAATGTAATGCTATTTCCATCTCAAAGGTCAGTGACCACTCTCTTATTTGCTTCAAATCCCATCAGTGGTAACTTACTACAGCTGTTATAGTCTGCTAACATGGGACTGAATGCTAAAACATACAAACACTCCTCCTTACCAGTGGTCTCTTTCTTTACTGGTCCAATACTACCAGGAGTCATGGCGCTAATAGAACAGCGTGGCTGCAAAAAAGGGAAATGGAACTTCAGTCAATTTCCATAGAGCCCAGTTCAGTAACAACGATAATGTCAATAAATATAAAATGTTATCTCAGGTTAAACAAATCCCTGCTAGAATCCAAAAAATATTATCCCACAGTTTCATGACCAAACCACTGAACATTCTCCTCTTCACTCTCACCCAGCAAAAAGTGACCCTGACAGACTGGGTTTAAGCAGGACTCCCAGAAGCACAGTATTACAGACAGATATGCTTTTTGAGTGTTAGTTTCCATGGCATTTTGGCAAAATTTCCATGCTTTGCCTGCCATGAAAATATTGCAGGAAACCAAGGGTGCTGTGTGAAAACCCCATCACAGCATTTGGATTCCTTTTGACAGCAGAGATCATATGAGGCAACAACATTTTCCTCTAATTATGAATCAATTTAGTGCTAATAGGCCAATGTGAGGCATTTCTCTATATACGAAGATTCCTTGGTTTGATAAAAGTGCCTCATATGCACAGAACATTAAATTAAATCAAAATAAAGATTTCAATTTACCCAGATTGACTCAGACTTAATTGACATCCCTTGCGGCAATTTTCCATTTCTGCCTCTGAAGTGTCATTCATTTTATTAATAAGATGTAAACAAATTCTTTTAAAATCAGGATGTTTACTTCAAAGATGTACAGCAATAATGTTAGTTTTAAAAGGCAGGCATTAAACAGCTGAAGGGTAGTTAGAGGACACGCGAAGGACCACATCTACCACCTACTGAAAGGAAATTTCAAGGGATATGCACCCTTTTTATCCCCAATATTACTACCATTGCCACTACTAGTGCACAACTGCTGCCTCAGCCAGCTGGCTCTTTGTTGAGGAGTGATTTGGAGGAACACTGAAGCATTTGCCATTTTTGTTATCCATGTCATAACATGACTTATTCAAAATCCTAAGAGACTTGGCAAAGTTTTGAGCCTTCATAGAGGCCTTCTACATCGTGATTGTTGGCACCTGTGGTCCTCCTGGGATATTTCTCCCCAGCACACAGGCATGCCTAGATAAAAGCAGCAGTTGCATGTTGCAGGAACAATGTACATTTTCCAAAAGCTGTGATTTTCTTCTACTCCTGAGATTAATTGATACAGAAGAATGGACAGATATTTCTCTCATTAATCATTCAGATCATTCACCTTAGAATGATTACTCAACCCTTCCCTGTTCTACAATCACCAACAGATCTATTGTACTTCAATGATCAATTATCTCTACAGTTCTTTAATGCCTGACACACAGAATTAGTACACTCAGTCGCCTCTGGATATTTTAGTCTTTACTCAGAAGTTGAGCAGCAACTTTTCTTCCTTCATATGAAGCATTTAGCTGTAATTGCGTTCATCTCTGGCAGACTTCAGGGAAAAGTAGGGGGAAGTCTAAAGTATCTAAAGCTCTTCCAACTACATGTTTTCATTTTCTTCAGGCTGCAAAATTAAATCTCCCTCCCGTTTTGTGGTCACAATCTGTCCTTGTTTTCCTGGGGCATCTTCCTTATTCTCTCCCTCAAGAGCTTGTTACCCTAAAAGTATCTTCTAGTTGTTTCAGTGAGTCCAAAACCTTCTAAGGTTTTCATTCTCTTTTTACTCTAGGAAAAGAGAGATTTGCTTCTGCTCAGTTAACAAGGTTAGGCTGGGGTACAACATGTAAATGAAGCAGCATTTCTTATAAAAGACTCACCACATCTTCATCATCATCATCATCTTCTTGACCATCACGAAGGAGTTTAGCAAGGAACTGTAGAGAAGAGCCTGAGGAAACACTGTCCATATCAATACTCACTGCTCACCTATACAGAAAAAACAACTGACAGATGAAAAAAGAAGAAAATGTGTTCTTTACTGTCTGTAAAGCACAATTTTCCTGCTGTGTGTTCTGGACAGATAAAGTTTAGCCAACCTCTTACATGTGTGATGTCAAAACATATAATGGAACATAATCAACTTTTCCTATCTGTACTCAGATTATATTCTTTTCCTCCACAGGCACTAGTGGCAGTCAGACCTCAAGCCGTACAGTGACTATTAGCTCTGGTAGACCCCACATCAACGTGGAGTTGTAGCTACCGGAGCCAGGGCGAGGGTAGCAGGACACGATGGCTCAGGCCTCGCATCGAGGGGGCAGGCCGAGGTCTTCACAGACGTTGTCTGCCCACCCGCCTTGCTCCAGGCAGGTCTAGGACAGCCCAGGCTGAGGGCGAACGGAAACACAGCGTCAGGGAAGGCCGCCCTCAGCGCGGCCCCCTCTTCAGGC